CGTTCGTCGGACTGGAAATCTATATAGCTAGAAATTTCCAGGTGCCAAAAACACATTAAGCTATGAAATATTCACAACATGATTATGTATTAATTGACAATAGTTGTTATGTTTTCGAAATGTCTACTTTAACTAAAAAGGCGATTTTGCTACAGTTTAGTAGTAGGAGAAAAAATACAAATGTTTCTATATAGTTCCACATAATGCCACTAGTGGGTAAACTACAAAAACCTGTCGTCTGCAAGCGCATAACTATAAAGTAACCGATAATCAGTCCCAATGCCTTTGTGAAGTGTAAACTGTGCATAACTGTACAAGATGGGTTCAAAATAGAAAAACAGAACAAGAAACAATGCATCTGTCGGCATTACAAAAAATATGAACTATAATGAAATACGTGCAAAAAAAAAAGAAGAGAGAATGTAATGAATAAAAATATAAACGTTTTATGTTAAGTAATTTTAAAAATTAGTTGGCGTCAAGATAAAAGAACAAACTAAATAATTAGGCCAAGAAATAAGTAACGTTTGTCTCAACATCACTTAAGCTTAACCATTGATCCATAAGTCGTTGGGCTAAAATCATATCTGAGCATGCGTATAAATATTAGGCTTAATTTTAGAAGGAATTTGTGTATTGTTTACTAAAAATTAGTTGATGTAGATGTTCAATGGAAAGTAAACTGTAAAAAAAAAGTTTCGTGAAAAGTTGTCATACGACGATAGGTTATGATCTCAGAACGAGGTTAAGATCTCAGAACTTGATTTTTTTTCTTGTTAAAAAGAGTTAGACGAGATCTGATTGAGGTGTTTAAGATTGTTAATAGAAGATAGTGTTGGTGCCTCGTCGTTTTTTATACTTAATGGCGAGAATAATAGGACTAGGGTACACAAACATAAATTTTGGTAGGTTAGGAGTCATCTTCAGCTAAGACAACTTTATTTTTGTAACAGGGTGGTTGGCCTTCGGAACGTGTTGCCTTCAGATGTAGCATAATGTGTATTCTGAACCTCCAGGTTCATGTTTTTTTTATAAAATGTTGTCAAATTTAGGTTTAACGCATTGATGGAAAGTATATAACTTCTTATTTTCACGTAGATAAAACTTTGCTTTATTGTTTGTTTGTTTTGAATTTCGCGCAAAGCTACACGAGGGCTATCTGCGCTAGCCGTCCCTAATTTAGCTGTGTAAGACTAGAGGGAAGGCAGCTAGTCATCCACCACCCACCGCCAACTCTTGGGCTACTCTTTTACCAACGAATAGTGGGATTGACCGTCACATTATAACGCCCCCACGGCTGAAAGGGCGAGCATGTTTGGTGTGACGGGTATTCGAACCCACGACCCACGGATTGCGAGTCGAGCGCCCTAACCACCTGGCCATGCCGGGCCCATCCCTTTTTCTGTATCAGTCATGATAGAAGGCATTTTGTTATATGGGTTCTACAATTTCTTTTCTTATACACATGCGTTAAGTATATGATACACAATAACTAGAAATCATGTTTAATTAGGGTTATGATGCCCTTGATATAATTAACAACTAAAAGTACTCAAGTATGCTACATTAAAGTTTATATGCACATCTACGAAACTGGTAAGATGGTTCAATGTAATTACTTGCAAATATAACACATTCGATATACAAGCTGGTTTCACTGAACAGCCCCTATAGGATAATCACACAAACGTTACCGAGGCCTAATGCCCGTGACGTTAAAGGGAAGTAGCTTATTGTACACTTCCAGTTCGACAATTTCCTGGGTATTATCAAAGTAATGTTTTTTCTATTAATATGTAACAGGCATTCACATGTCCGTAATTTCACCAACTACGCCTAGGTGTTCAAATTGATATCTCACATTGAAAAACGCATCGTGAACAAGATACGTATGTAAACACTTAGTATAATACTTTTCCCGCCTCTTTGTTACACAGATATCGCCTGTTTTGTAATAAATACTAGAACAATTTGAAGTCATGAACAGAAAATAGTTATGTGAATATCGGTAAGTTACTCTTATGTTTAGCACTGCAAATTCAATCAATATTGAAACATCAATTATCGTTCCCAAGCAGGACCGGCGCTAAGGGTTTGCTAGGATAGGTTGTGCACCCCCATTATCAATTTTATGAAATCGTACGAATTTGTTTATTTGCTAAGAAAAATCAACAAAAGCTCCACCCCCAGCTCCAAGGGAGAGGAGCTGGAGCCGGGCCTGTTTCAAAGACCATAAGTTAAATACAACATACTGCCATCAAAGAAACAGTACCTGTTCACGGTCGTCTGCTACGTCATTAAGTTGATCATCTGGGTCGAGAATACCTCCGTCACTGGAGCTTTTCAGCTTTAGGATAGTCACCCATGAATCGGTGGCCTGGAGAAAAGAATGAATGTAAAAAAAAATAGTTTACTACAATTTTTGGTAAAATACATACACAACATATAAATGAACAACTGAAAGAGAAAAACGACTTATATATATATAATGTAAACAGTTAGAAACCTACATCGTGGTAGACCGTTTGACTGCAGGTTTGATATATAGCAGCATCACAATAACTGAAGTTCTACACATTATAAAGTCCTTATGGCTGAAAGGGCGAGTATGTTTAATGACGGGATTCGAACCCGCGGATTGCGAGTAGAGTGTTCTAAACATCAGGCCAACAGAAACAGGTGCTTCAGTTAGACAAAGATGTTGAGAAAAATATCAAATTAAAATCGTAAAGCGTATAAATATATATATATATAAACACCTGATTGGCCGGTTTCAACGATATATGTTACAAGTCGAATAGCTTCTAATGTCAAATGTTGTGAATCAATTATTATACTATAGCATAACATATATGTACGTAACACTTTATTACAGGTACAATAGTAATCAACATAAAGACAAGTAGTTTTTGTTAGGAAACGCATTTTAATCTATACCTATAACAACTATGTTAAGAATGCATTCTTCTATTACTATGTAAAACCACGTGACGCCCGTAGGGTACTATTACCAGTATAAACAAAGAAAGTGTATGGCTGACGGATGACAAATTGGGAGTCGCATATACGTTAATAAACAACCGTATATTGTAAATAGACAATTCAAAAGAAAACCATGAAATCTAATTGTCGGGTGTGTCTATATCCAATTCCAAGACCCTTTGTTTCAAAATACATTACTTGTAGCTAGACTTACGTCACTTATCTCAAGATCAAGCGACAAGTTTCCCTTAAGTTACCACCACTTTTCTCCTACACGTGACTAAAAGTGATTCCATATAGAAGAATACATGGTTTTAAAAACCATTACAACTATCCGAGTTTTTTTTAACTCTTCCCATGTTTTCTTGATGTGATGAAAATGTGTCTTGTAAGACAGCAGCATAGCATATTTTCATTTTATTAAAGTTTTTGTATATTACAAGTTTGGCGGAGAAAAACTATACTGTAGTTTAATCTAATTAGTGGACATAAAGAGTAAGTTAAGTTGGAATGAGTAAAATTATCAAACCTAGATAAACCGTAATTTAAAGAAACCAGACCAAAATTTACTGGATTCATTATGTTATTAACTGTGGATTTAAAGTCACCAAGTTATCTTTTAAGCTTTTGGTTTAAATCAAGCCATCTAAAGGTCTAGATAGCTAACACTCTCTCTCTCTTTGAAATATATATATATGTTATTGGAAGATCTCGAGTTTTCCACCTGAATTAAATAATCAAAAATCTGGATTTCCGATAAAGTTAAGAGTTAAGTGAACTGTAAGTGGTTTTATTATATATTTTATCAAATAAAACATGTCAATTATCACATCTAGAGATGAATTTTTGGATAACTAGAGAAGAAAAAAAAGTAATCAGCGTGAAATAAAACAAACTGAAATTTTTATATCGTCTGTGGAGAATATCATTGATTTAAACTGATCCAAAGAAGCAAAAGAATCTTGTAATGCTTAAGCCACTAGAATCAGACTTATAATGAAATGGTTTAAATGTGAAGCAGGAAGACTACTACAGCACACATTAGCTTCTCTCAACCCACAGATTAAGAATATTCATAGCGACAGTAACGTGGCTATATTTCATACCAGTCACGATGCAGTACTACTACCATTAATATCAATAGTACTTATAAAACTTTAAAAATCTACCCACAGTAAAAATCCCGGGTTTTAAAAACTTTGTAAATTATGTGAACGATTTCATTGCATTTTGTATTACTGTTTGTTTTGAAGTTAATCACAAAGCTAGACAATGGGCTATCTGTACTCTACACACCACGGGTATCGAAACCCGGTTTCGAGCGTTGTAAGTCCGCAGACGTAGCGCTGTGCCACTGAGGGCTTGGTGTTATTAATCTGTTGAAGAATGGGCCACGTGGGTGACATGTTGCGAAACGAAATGACCGCCAGAGACAGACCAACGTGGATTGTGATTGACAATTATAAAGAAAGAAAAAACATTGTTTAAGGTGTAATGCTGAACAGCTGTAGACAGTAGCGATAAGTAAACATATAAATTAATTTTCAATAATTATAGCTTTATTTGAAAATAAATAAATAAAACATTTCTTTTGTTTCAATAGTTATTCGCGCGTATGTAAGAAATTTTGTTTCGCAAACTTTAATCCGCCTGAGCCGCATTGTCGTTTCTACGATTGTTTATCTGGATGGAGGGGTAACACTTTCACGACACTGTAAGTTATAATGTTAAGAGGATCTCTGGAGGGGTGGGACTTCCCAATGGGAGGTATGCCTCCCTCCCAGGTTAACATGCTCCTGATGGACCGTGTTTCAAGGTGGTGGGCGACCTGTGAAGCTCATGTGGAACGAAGACCTCTTCTCTAATAACCGTTGGATGCTTTCTCGGGCTTAAAGATTTTATCATAAATAAAATATGTTGATGGGTTTTATGAACTATAAAGTTTCTGAAGTCTGTAAATTATTAAACTTAACCAGTCCTTATCAGACTGTTCACGGATTAAAACAACAACACTACAATGAAGCCCATTCGACTTTAAAACGTGGCTCATATTTGATTTATATTATTATGAAGCATGGTAAAATCTGGCATTATGTGACCTTAGAAATAAAGTAAATGTAAATGTTTGATGAATTTAAATTCACACGTGAGGTTACTTTTAATTAATTATTTTGTTGGAACGGAAGATCGTAAAACGGTGAAGAACACCTGGTGACAAAGGGAGGTTTGCATAATTATAAACAAACTCTTACGGATGTTGATTAAAAACTCCTTGCCACCGTACACCTGGTGACAAAGGGAGCTTTACATAATTATAAACAAACTCTTATGGATGTTGATTAAAAACTCCTTGCCTCCGTATACCTGGTGACAAAGAAAGTTTTACATAATTATAAACAAACTCTTATGGATGTTGATTAAAAACTCCTTGCCACCGTACACCTGGTGACAAAGGGAGCTTTACATAATTATAAACAAACTCTTATGGATGTTGATTAAAAACTCCTTGCCACCGTACACCTGGTGACAAAGGAAGCTTTACATAATTATAAACAAACTCTTATGGATGTTGATTAAAAACGCCTCGCCACCGTACACCTTGTGACAAAGGGAGGTTTACATAATTATGAACAATTTTATTTATTTGTTTGAAGTTAAGCACAAAACTACATAAGGGGCTATCTGTGCTGTGCTCACCATGGGTATCGAAACCCTGTTTCCAGCGTTGTAAGTCCGCATACACTGTGGATGTTGATAAATACTTCTTACTAGAGTTATGAGAAGTTAGTAGTTTTTGAAGTTTGATTTGGCGACATATAGATAAGTACGCCCTTGACCATGCGTTATATTCTTCACTCACCGCGCTTTTATAATATAAATTTTAACTGTAATAGTGTGTACTGTATCAAGTTAGTGAAGTGTAATTTTTAACTGTAATAGTGTGAACTGTATCAAGTTAGTAAAGTGTAATTTTTAACTTAATAGTGTGAACTGTATCAAGTTAGTAAAGTGTAATTTTTAACTTAATAGTGTGAACTGTATCAGGTTAGTAAAGTGTAATTTTTAACTTAATAGTGTAAACTGTATCAAGTTAGTAAAGTGTGATTTTTAACTTAGTAGTGTGAACTGGATCAAGTTAGTGAAATGTAATTTTTAACTGTAATAATGTGAAATGGATCAAGTTAGTGAAGTGTAATTTTTAACTGTAATAGTGTGAACTGTATCAAGTTAGTAAAGTGTAATTTTTAACTTAATAGTGTGAACTGTATCAAGTTAGTAAAGTGTAATTTTTAACTTAATAGTGTGAACTGTATCAGGTTAGTAAAGTGTAATTTTTAACTTAATAGTGTAAACTGTATCAAGTTAGTAAAGTGTAATTTTTATAGCAGACTAGTGAACCACTTTCCAGTACTCTCATTCTTGGTTCATAATACATATATGTCTTAGAATTACGAAAACATTACTTTAATAATATCTTGGTTGACGGGTGTTGAAAATTAACAGAAGAGAGAGAGAAGGGATACACACTCTCTGTGCCAGAAAACACTAGAAAAGTTCCAACACTTACTGGTTTCTTATCGGTAATGGCTTCGTTTCGTTTATTTTGAATTTCGCGCAAAGCCAATCAAGGGCTATTGGACTCTCTAACTTAGCAGTGATAGATCAGAAAGAAGGTACCCACCGCCAATTCTTGGGCTACTCTTTTACAAGCGAATAGTGGGATTGACCATCACATTATAACGCCCGTATGACTGAAAGGGAAAGCATGTTCGGTGACGGGGATTCGAACACCCAATCACCAGGATATGCCAAGTCTATCGGTAATGGCAAAAGAAAACAAACAAACAAAAAACGCAATCTTAGATAAAATTAAACATAACACTCGACTTTTTCTTTACACAATTTTCTTATTTTTCTTTTATTAAAATACAGTTCATGAAGGGAGAATGTCACAGATGTAGAAAAAAGAAAATTTTTCTTATCCAAAAAATATATTAATCCATAGTGTAGACGGTCTAAAATTTCGAAACTTAGTAAGTACTGAGATAGCTGTTATTTTGAAAACTGGACGAAATTTAATATCAAACGAAAATTTAGTTGCACTCCAGAACAATCGCTGTAAAAAATATTTTAAACTCATTTCTTTATACCTCACACACTATGTTTATTAC